ACCAAAAATGCTTTAAATTGCGTTTTAAAACATATCTAGGTATTGTAAATGATAAAGAATTCTAATATAGATATAAAATCGATATTTTTTTGAAAATAGCCAACTATGATCGAAACCAAAAATACTTTAAATTGCGTTTTAAAACATATCTAGGTATTATAAATGATAAAGAATTCTAATATAGATATAAAATCGATATTTTTTTGAAAATAGCCAACTATGATCGAAACCAAAAATGCTTTAAATTGCATTTTAAAACATATCTAGGTATTGTAAATGATAAAGAATTCTAATATAGATATAAAATCGATATTTTTTTGAAAATAGCCTACTATGATCGAAACCAAAAATGCTTTAAATTGCATTTTAAAACATATCTAGGTATTGTAAATGATTAAGAATGCTAATATTGATATAAAATCGATATTTTTTTTTAAATAGCCTACTATGATTGAAACCAAAAATGCTTAAAATTTCATTTTAAAACATATCTAGGTATTATAAATGATAAAGAATGCTAATCTAGATATAAAATCGATATTTTTTTGAAAATAGCCTACTATGATCGAAACGAAAAATGCTTTAAATTGCATTTTAAAACATATCTAGGTATTATAAATGATAGAGCATGCTAATATAGGTTTAAATCGATATTTTTTTGAAAATAGCCTGCTATGTTCGAAACCAAAAATGTTTTAAATTGCATTTTAAAACATATCTAGGTATTATAAATGATTAAGAATGCTAATCTAGATATAAAATCGATATTTTTTTGAAAATAGCCTACTATGATCGAAACGAAAAATGCTTTAAATTGCATTTTAAAACATATCTAGGTATTATAAATGATTAAGAATGCTAATCTAGATATAAAATCGATATTTTTTTGAAAATAGCCAACTATGATCGAAACCAAAAATGCTTTAAATTGCATTTTAAAACATATCTAGGCATTTTAAATGATAAAGAATTCTAATATTGATATAAAATCGATATTTTTTTGAAAATAGCCTACTATGATCGAAACGAAAAATGCTTTAAATTGCATTTTAAAACATATCTAGGTATTATAAATGATAGAGCATTCTAATATAGGTTTAAATCGATATTTTTTTGAAAATAGCCTACTATGATCGAAACCAAAAATGCTTTAAATTGCATTTTAAAACATATCTAGTTATTATAAATGATTAAGAATGCTAATCTAGATATAAAATCGATATTTTTTTGAAAATAGCCTACTATGATCGAAACGAAAAATGCTTTAAATTGCATTTTAAAACATATCTAGGTATTATAAATGATAAAGAATGGTAATATAAATATAAAATCGATATTTACTTCCACGCAATAGCGTGCAAGTTATTAGTTTCACGAAAAACACACTTTTTTTAATACAGCCTGAAGGACTCATTTTCAAAAATCTCAAAGGGTACCAAAATGTGTGTATTAGGAGACCGGATTTTTCTGTAAATAAAGTTTTACATTTGAAAAAACGTCCACTGCCCTTTCTATGTCTAAGACTCCCATCAAAAGTATCCTTTTACAGACATTGAAAGCATCTGTAAACGTGTTATTGATGTGATATTTTGTAAGATCTTTCACCTTAAAATTTTTCGACGAAACACATAGGTAATATATAAGGTAATATTCCTATTTGGCAACTTTTATGTTATCTAACGTAAGTCAAGCGTGGAAGTTCGTGGCTTTCTACGTAATTCGTATTTTTTAAAGAATTTAATTCTAAATTCTCTTACTTCAAAAATTTATCAATACTTATCCACTAAAAATGTACATCGTCACATCCTGTACCTCACAAAAATTGCCACAGACAATCATAACAAGCGGAAATTCCACACAACTAATTCACTCAATGATGACTGAGGAAATCAACAGGTTGCAGCCATTATTCAACATTTTCACACTTGCAAATTATGATAATCAAAAACATAAACGATGAGTCTCAAATGATAACAATGTGGCACCACTCCATTTACAACTTTTCGTGTGATTTTTCATCCGTTGTATATTTAATATTTCCTTTAAAAATGTGATAAATATAATGGTTGATAAAGTCAGTCGTTGTTGCTGTTTTAGTCTATATAGACATCTCATGAATATTTCAGGACAGACATTTTAATGGTTTTGTTTAAGAATGCAAATATATATCTGTAAAGGAATGTCACTGGCAAAAATAAAGGAGTTATGAAATGTACATAAGACATAGACTAAGAACAAAACAATGCAAATCTCATGTAGTTACACTGCTTTATAGCTTTTATTTCTCATAAATATATAGAATATCTCAAATAGTCTACTTGATATTGTACATTCTCTCTTGTTTTTAGCATGCAACAACATTTCTATTTTTTTTTTGATGCTTTACTCATTAACCTTATTAACATTATTATCATTTTCACAATATTTTTTTGGTTTTTGTCAAAAGCATTTTTTCAGAGATAATACCAGGTAGACTGAAGTTGTCGAATTTCTTGTGGAATAATTACTGCCAAGATAATAATTTTTAAATTTGCAACGGTTTTCTAAGAATTGAATATTTTAAAAATTCAAATCTCAAAAAGACGTAAAATTATTACCATTTTATAATTCAAATCTGATAAAAATCGTTGAATAATGATAATATTCTTTGAATATTTTAAACGATTTTGATAATTCAACTCTTAGAAAACCGTTAAATTTTAATTATGTCAAGTAGCCAATTTCACATACACGTGCTCGATGTACGTTTATCAATTTCCACTCAATAAATGAATTATTTAATAAATTTTGAGTAAACGTAATCCACAAGAGATTTCCCACTTCAGCAAATAGAGGAAGCTTATAAATACATTTACAATTAAATGCAGCATAGAAGTAGTTTGATGATATCCTAAATATAGAGATAAAATTTTTTGTAGATAGATATTCAATTATGTACGTTTTAGATATAGCTAAATTAAGTCTATATTATAGAACAAGACGAAGTAATTCATTTTATGAAATGTACCTTAAAATTTTACGACAATTTATTTATATTTTTTTTTATGCACATAACTCTACGTAATAATAATGCTCTTTGACGAAAAGCTATGTTCTATGTGAGACCTTTTAATTAACTAAGTTAAATTGAGCTAAAATTTTTTTTCCATCCTTCATGAATAAAGCACATGAAACATACACTTACGTAGGACTTGTCTCTGTGTGTGATAAGAATTTTTGTGTTGTATGTCCTCCCTCATCCATCCAGTCACAAAAAGAACTTCTTCAAAAAATTCTGTGTGCTAGTCAAAAAGAAGAATTCAACGTAAAGTAGATGAAAACATAAAAATTGCATTTATTGTTGGATATAATGAACAATGAAAAGATGACGACGAGAGGGAAGGAGAACATTTGATGTACAGGGAATTAATTCATAGATACATTCTAAGGTGACGAAATGAAAGAAGAAAAACTAGTGTATCGGATAGAAACCTAATGCAGATATATTCACACCACACCATTAAAAGTCTTGTGGATTGACTAAGCTTGATCAGCATTAGTTTGAAAGTATAGAGCTTAAAAAAATCTTAAGAAAGGAAGGTTTTGGGCTTTTTCATAAGCAACGGCTGTTCCTACCTTGCCCAAAAACAATACAGCTCTTCTTTAAAGCAGCAAGGATTAAATGCAAAAAACTAGAAGTCTCTTCGAGGTCTCGTTATTGATCATTTCATCAGTACCACACCCTTGATTGAGATTTCTTGCTGATTAACTTGCTTGTTTGCGTATTTTTCGATTTTCTCAGCAATGCCGCAATTAATTTGAAATCTGGTTTTTAGCAGAAGTTGTAAAACTGAGTTTTTAATCTGAACAAAAACAATAAATTCGCACGTGAATACGGTGTGAATATAAAAATCGTTAGATTGTTCAAATAAAGCAGATGAATGAAATTATTCTCCTGTTGCTTTAACCTACATAATGAAAAAATCATAACATTCTCTATGTAGAGGTTCCAAAGATCTATCGCAGCTAGAATCGAAAATTAGACTAGAATTGGACTTTTTCTTACACATTAAGTCAATATTATGATTCAAAGGAATCGCAACGTGAGTCCTGTGTTGTAAAAAAGCTAGTTGCATGTTTAGATTTTAAGAATCTGTGTCATCCGTAGTTAAGAGTTTACAGCAACAAAATCGAAATAGAATTCGCTTGAATGCATGCAGAATGTATTTTGGGATCAATTGTTAATTAAAATTTAATAAGCAATTCACATTCACTAGTTATTGACCTTTTCTGGGAATGTCTTTTGGTCTGAATCATAAATTTTTGGAGATTCTTGGTTTACTAATGACGTAAAACGAGAAACAACTTTTCAGACGCCTCAAATCCTCTTCTTTTGTTCGTATTTAAATATAGTCTTCGGATGAGTTCTTTTGATTCTAAGAATATCCTTTCAAAAGTATAATTTAAGGAATAAGTTCTTTTCATCAGTTGATATTGAAACATGTCCCAACATTTAGTCAACAACTAAAAGTCTTTTGTAATTTTGATCCGGAAAAACAATTACAGATCAATTCTTTTTGTTTGTCAGTTTTCGGATTCGACCGATGCCCATTTTGAGGCATATTCTTTGCTGCTGTTACGATACTAAAGCAGCACAGTCTAGTTTCGAAACGTAAAAAGAAATCTACAGCGACTAAATCATATTGCATTGGAACCTCTATTAAACTAGAATAATTGCTATTAATATTCAATCCAACTAAACGTACAGAAACATAATAAGATTAAGAATTTATGCTGCATTTTTAGAATTTATTTTCTCACCATAAAGACTGACTAGATTAGTGTCGAAGCATAAAATTGATATATTTTTCTTTAAAAGTAATTCATTTACAGTATTTTTCATGTGTCCTTTTAAAACTAGTATTTTTTCCCATTATGCTAGTGACTTATGATTTAAATTGAAGACTTATGCTGACTTACTTATGTTATTTTAATGCATAAAATTAATTTCAAATATTTTGGACGAATTTGACTTCTTTACTATATAATGTAATGTCTAAGTTCTTAGTGAATTTATTTATATATGCATCATGTGTCCTTATCATTATTATATACTAATAATAAAAATAACGTTTTGAAATATTTTCTTTAAAAATTCCCATATTTATAAGCCACCCAAAATTGCAAATTACGACGACGACATACAACTGCTACTGCTCAATTCATGACTTATTACGAATAATTTAATGCTTCTTTCTAATTAACTTAAATAATACTAAATGGATCCTCATCTTCATTTCCAAAGAATGTCGGCTCAATGGCTGCCAAATCTACATCACCACGATCATTAGCACTTCCATTGTTATTTCGATGTGTCGCTCTTACTGAATGCTCGTGATTATTACTCCTAACATTATTATTATTATTTGTATTATTATTGACATCTTGATTTTGATTTTGATTAGGATTGATAATGACTGCATTGTTTATTGAAATTAGATTAGCAATTTCATTACTGCAGTTATTTGGTTGCTGTTGAAGCCCTCCATTGCTATTTGTAACAACAACTTCTGTCAATGCTGTTATATAATTCTTTGCAAGTGTTAACGTCTCAATCTTTGATAATCTACGTTCCTTCTTTACGTGGGGTATGACTTCTCTCAGTGACTGTAAATGGAAAATCAGAAAATTTTAATGAAATTATATCAGCAGTGTACACGTATTATGTATCATTATTATGATTGTTGTTAGGATATAGGGGATGGATTATAAAGAACAAGAACAATACATTATTATTGATTCGTGTCAATAATTAAAAGTTCATACGAGCTTAAGACTAATGAGCCTGATAATATATGACAGATACGTGAAGAGGATTAAATTATTACGTGATTGTCAAGCACAAGTGATTGAAATATTTCTTCACGATAATCACATCATTTGACAAAGTTTTAATTAGGATCCCCCCTCCCACCATCGATTAAAAAAGTAAGAAAGTACAAGAAAGATTTAGATTATGTGGACATGTTTCCATATTTTTCCTATATTCATCTGCTCTTTTATTTTGTCCTTTAAACGTAAACCATTAAGAGGAGCCCAATGAGCTCTAGGAATATAAACGGAAAATAAAAAGAGACGAGAAAAAATCGCCTCCGCATTTGAATAAGTTGCAAAGTTTTGTGTACACAGGAATTAACTTAAGCGTCTTTGTATCATGAATGTAAAACTGATTTATGGCTGATTAGCTTTCTAACTTTAGAAATGCTACAGATTGTTGTGATAAGAAGCATTGAATACTTAACTGTCATTTAGAATTTGAATATCAAAACTATTCAAATGTTTTAAATTCGTACAAATCCTTCCAAATGTTTTCAAACTCATTTAAAGCCATTTAACAGTTAAAGAAACAATTAAAACCACACAACAGCACCATTAATTCTGTTAAAACCATACAAATGTTTTAAATGTCTCAAAACCTCAAATTACGCTTTCTACAAATCGTGACACTCAAATTTCAAATTTAATTGAGATAAAAATTTTAAAATCTATAAAATTTTAAAGTCATGCTGCTTCAGCAAAATCACTGTTAACACAGATTATTGATAAGATTATAGCGTCATACAAACTGTTATGACGTCATCCAAAACATCCAGCTTCTTTGTTTCAATGATGACATCACTACTGCACTGTCATAGTTCAATAAGGATTCTTAAATGGTCACAAATCATTAACTACTTTAGAGTTGATGAGTTATTACTTTTCACAAAAGTAAACTATCTTAGAGCCCCTTACCCCCAAAAATGCAAATAGAGCTAGAGAATAACACAACATTTCCATACAACCAAAAGGGAATCGCAATAATCATCAAATATCAACGATATAAACTTAAACTGCGGTTAGTAAACATCATGTTGTAGAAAATGATGTTCAAAAGAGGGAATGAAAAAATGATGGACATTTTATTAGAGCGCCAAGAAAAATGTGTTGTTATTGAATATTCGATACACAGTAAAGAAAATATTTAGTATTTTTTCATGTTGTGGTACGGGTACCGTCGTTTGTACATAAATTGTTGACGCGATTAGAATTTAAATGAAAAATGTTAATGAGCAGATATTTTTTTTTTATAAAACAAGAAATAAAAAATAAAACCAGGCTATTCATTATATTATGAATGTATATTTTGGTATTCTGTATGGTTAAAATGTTAATCTGTGACACTTTATCAATACTGATGTGAAAAATTTTCATACATTTTTCTTTTTTTTTCGGGAGGGGTGCATGCACATATACACGAAAAATATTCTTACTGATGAATTTTTATCATATTTATTTATGTCAATAAATTCAACATGTTTTCTCTAATGTGACGGGATTTATTCAAAAGGTTCTCTGTATTACACTGCGATTAATCATGTTTTGATTTTCATTAGCATTTTTTTATATTTTAAAACTAAAATTTGGAATTATAAGGTTCTAAAATATTTTAAACTATTTTTTAAAGTCATTTATAAGGTTCTATCATTTTCCAAGAATTTGCATGGTTTTGGAAATATACAATGACATTTGTATGGTTTTCGAACACTAAACATTGTGTTGATCTGAATTATTTAACATTTGTGTGGTTTTTAAGCATTTGTAAGGTTCTCAATCATTAAAACCGCACTCAAAGAAAAAATGTAATATTGAATTTTAGATTTGTATGAAAAAATCAAATAGAAAATTTTTGTTTTGCAACCCGAAGGAAATATTTTTGATTTTCTAAAAGAAAAGTTTGTAATCAAAAGTTTTATTTTTAATTCATACTTTAAAAGAATAAATAATTTTTCTTTTAAACCCAAACTCAACAATAATTTTTTAAATTTAAAAATAAAATTCTAGAATCTAAAGTAAAGATTTTTGAATTTAAAATTAAAGCAAATTAAATTATTGGAAGTGACAGAACTCATAAATACATAAAGCACGAATGCTTGTGAGGCAGAGGAAATTTCATTCATGTGAAAGATATTCTTTTAAATATCCTAAGTTTGTATGGAAATTGAGGTTGCACTTGATGCCATGATTTCTGGGAAGTTTTGCTTTGCTTCAAATATTGCTGCGAATTTTTGTTTTCAAAAATCAAAGAGAAAAACATTTAAATCTAAAATTTTTTCTTTAAGTTGCAAAAATTTTCGAAATCAAAAATTGTAAATTAAAATCAAAAGTTTTATTTTGGAATGAAAATCTAAAAATTTGCACTTTAGATTTTAAAAATGAGTATTTTTAATTTCAAAACTTTATTTTAAAATTCAGGAGAAAATTTTTAAAAATTGAAAATTTTACTTTGGATTTAATAATTTTAATTAGAATTGACAGATTTTAAAATCTAAAGTGGAAATTTTTGAATTTTTTTCTGAGTGCATTTGCATGATTCTCATCAGAATCCTTTAATTTACAAAAAAAACTTAGGTTAAGTTTCAAATCACTTCATAAAATTCAAATCACATTCACTAGACAACTCATGATGATACTCACTTGAAAAGCGTCATTTAAACTATGCATCCTCATGCGCTCCCTCTCATTAGATTCTAGTCGTCGAAGATTTCTTTCTTTAGCATTTAACGTTCCTTTTTTCCTCCTTGCGTTTGACGTTAATGTCAAATATGTAGCTTTCCGACGTCCTCGACAATTTCCATAATCGTCACTTTGTGAACTTGAATCTGTCATGTCAGAGGGATCAATATTTGTTTGTGACGGTTGCTATGAGTGGGATAGTTTTAAAGAGAGAAAATAAATACATAAATATAAGAGTAAGTTATTACAATGCACTGTGAACATTTTAATTCTGATAAAAAGGAAGGCAAATTCTTATAAAAATTTATTTCAGGAGTAAATGTAGAGGAAAAGTAAAATTTATTTTGTGCTTTTGAACATATTTCTCATTCCTCTTGTTCCTTTATCTTTATTTTCATCCCGAGTTGTGCTGTATGTAGACAATAATTTTGCAGTTTCTAGTTTAGAATCGCATTATATTCTAGCAGAAATTTACTAGTAATTTCCTAGTAATTTACTGGATAACTTTCCATTTGCTACTTGCTATTTACTAGTAAAAATCCAAGTTCAAATCATCGCCAAAGACCCGCATTTTCACTTGCTAATTGACTAGTCAATTCGCTTACAATTTAACTAGTAATTTACTAGCAAATTTTTAAAAAAATTAAATGAATATAACCGTTGATTTTCACTTGTTGTTTTGATTTTTCTTATTTGTGTAAATTATAGTAAAAGTATTAGTGTGTACTTGTTTAAAGTTTATTAAAGTACACTAACACTATGAAAAAATAAATAAAAGACTTAATTTAATTAAGTCGAATACTGATGAACGCCCATGACTCGCACGCAAACCTGAGGTAGATAAATAATTAATTGAAAGTCACTTACAAATTTGGATCGAGCTTATAAAGGTGATTTCTGCGCGCTCTTGTGAAGTATATGGTAAATGCCAAATTTTTCATGACGCAAAAAATTCTTTTTTTGATGATTTTTCGTAAGATTCAAACTTAAGCAGATTTGATCAAACATTTTACATGGTAATTTGCTAGTAATTTGCTAGTAAATAGCAAGTGTAATTTATTAACAGTAAGTTGTTTTAATAATAACTAGTAAATTGCAAGTTGTAAAATAGAAAAACTAGCAATTTGCTAGTTAGTCTCGCTAGGGATAGACTTAAGAACCGCTGATAGATTGCAAATCTACTCACTAAGGCCTAATAAAATCGAGGATGTTCAACTAAAAGAACCTAGAACTGCCAATCTAATGACATAAGAACTCTTACAAACAAAAGGATCTAAGGAACAAGAAATCTTCAAAATGATAACCACAAAAGAAAACAAAATGACTAGCATTCGAAAATGTGCAGCTCGGATAATAGCTTACTTGTTGCTGCATTTTTCTTGATCTTAGTCTATCGTTGGTATTTTTTTCTGCTACAAATTGCTCAGGTGTACTGCTTTTATAAGATGCTTCATTATTTAAAGTGCTGGATGATTCAAAGAAGCCACTCGTTGTGTCCTCTGACGATTCACCAAATTCATTGATATTTTGAAATTCACTTTTATCATCGCTTGCATTTGACTTCATGTTCTTGACAGAATTGACTGCTGTTCACCAACTGTAAATACAAATATAGGAAAATGTGATTATTAGCACGTAAATAAAAATAAAAATAAAGGCGTCGAAAATCTGTGTTGAAAGTTAATGATGCTGAATACAAATCACGATCCCTTCTCGAGCCAAAAAGCATCAACCGCCTTCATTCTGAATAAGGAAAAATTTCTGTTTAATCCCGTGAACATTTATAAAGATTTTCATATTAGTTGTGGAAATTAGCCTCGCTTTTCCTTGCTGTTGCTGCATGCAGCTATTGTTTCTGACCTTTTCATAGAACTTATCACATTATATGACCTTTTCAGCTTCCTTATTTATTCATAAATCTACATATTCCTGTTATTAATAAATATTGGCGCTTCTTCAAACATTTTTCCGTGTTTTCCATTAATGCACAAATTTTGTAAGACACAAGAAATTATCTAATTTATGTAGGCATAATTATTTATAAAAATTTAACCAAAATGTAGAGCATTAATCAAGCAGCATGAGTCATGAAAGTCCTTCTTTAGATTCGCGAGAATTTTCACGACTTTTTTTGTACAACAAGAAAGATTATAATTTATATGAGACTATAAGGTATAATCTATTGCTGCTGTAATGCGACTAGGTTTATGGGGTATTATGTTAAATAAAGCGTTATGGATTCAAAAATCAAGAAGCTTAATGAATGAGCACAGAATCAAAAACATTTTCTCTCTCTTGCCTTTTTCTTCAAATTATCAAATCAAATTTTTATTAATTAGCGTCTTTTCTTTGCGAATAGGAGAATGTCAAGAAAAGCGCGATACATGATTTGGTTTGCTCAAATTATGTCTAATTTTTTTAGCCGTTATTTTATGATTTTTTTCAAAATTATTCAATTCAAATGTTTTATAGCCTATACTTTTCAAATTTTTTGTGATCGTTATTTTTTTCAGCTAGTTTTTCTCGCTTATTTGAATTTTTTCAACCCGTTAAATTTTTGAATTTTCGAGAATCAAAAAGAGCACTACAAAAACTCCAAACATGTCACAAAAAATCACCAAACGCTATTAAAAAGACAAGCCTAAAACACGAGGAGCACTTATTGAGGTGATAAAGGTTACAAAGTGTAAATCATATTAATCAAATTAATAGCACAAATTAATTAATTATTTAATGAATTGATAAATTCTTTTTCTGATTGCTTCCTAATAATTTACGATGATGTTTTACATCAATCCTCAATGAGCGTCTTGTTGCTAATTTTAAATCATTAATGAAATTTTCATCTTATCATGAATTGAGCATTGAATGTCACGCATTCCGACAAATTTAAAGCTGAAAAATTAATTTAAAGTTCCGCGAGAATTCTTGGAAGCACTGAAAAGGAACATTTAAGATTTTGGAATGATATGAAAATTTCATTTTGTGGAAACCTTCATTTAGCTTTTATATTCTGGATTTAAAAATGCCAAAAATTACTGAGAAATCTAAAGTTTGTTCTGAAAACTCATGAACATTTGAATTTTTTTTTTTTTGAGGATTTTCTGTGAAAAACTCATCACATTTGAACTTTCCAGACTTCAACAGAATTAAGGTTTGAATTTGCAATTTATTTATGAATGAGTTTGTAGATTTTGACAGCCAATGAGCATAATTTCTTTTTTAAAATTTGATATAAAATATAAATTTAATCGAATTCTTTCCTGAATCAGATTGCTGTTTTATTGTTTTAAAGCAATGAAATAAAAACATTTGTAGGGTTCTTCAACATCATCAAAAGAATTTGTACTGTTTTGAAGTGCAGAATCAAAACAAAATTGAATTTGTAAGGTTTTGTATCAGATATTAAATTTTTGAAAGTTTTCAATGCTCTTACATAAAAATTTGTAAGGTTTTATAGCAAATTTAATAGTTTTAAACAAAATAAGTTTACATAACCTCCAAAAAATTTAACTAGAGCAAACAATTCCTTCATAAAACTATAAAAGTGCGTTTTGCAAACAATAGAATAACCCCCAAAAATTCATCCACCTTCTCCCCTTTCTCATTAAATAAAATTTAAATATATATTCAACTTTAAAATGTGAGGAATCGATAAGAGAAGTGTGAGAAAATGTAATTAATCACTCAATAAATAACACTTAGAAAATTTCAAATGAGATCAAAATTAAAATGATTTTCGTCGAATGTCATATTAAGGAATAAAAATATTGAAATTAGAATGATTATTTAAAGTCAAAAGGAATTGCATGAAACATTCCGACGAATCAGTGGAGCATGAAGGTGATATAAATGTAGAACCTGATTTTTAGTGACAACAGCGAAGTGAAATGAAGAAGATAGAATAATCATATTATAACAAATGTAATGCAATATGGTTATAAGTAGACCTATTTTAATGATTTATATGTAAAACAGAACTCAGGAACCCCAAAAACATTCATCTTATTTGTAACACAAGAACACATCTAATCCGAGTGCGGGGAACCTTTTTTTCAACTGTATGAAGGAAGCAAAAAGAGCTTTTCGCAGCATAAAGGGCAAACTTAACGTCAGTGTTATTGTATTTTTAACTCCATTTAAAATGTACTACTGTAAATTTAAATTTATTTCACTTCTTTTTTGTTGTTGTTTTTTTCTCACTTTTTCTTGCTTATTTTCCTTCATTTCATTTTTAGAAAAACAAATAGAGTAAAGTTCTTGATGACAACAATGAAAGTTTGTGGAAAGAAAAATTATTCGGAAGTTGAGAATTTTGTGAAGGTTGTGGTGATTTAGATGCGCATTCTTAATTATAAAATGGAAATAAGAAATATTGAATTGGTCTTTGTGGATGCAGTTTATTTTATTGCAATTAGCGTTTTTTAAGATTAAACTCAATTGATCAACAATTGAAGCAACATTCAGAATTTCTAGAATGTCTGTTCTTTTAAAGCAAATTTCAAGTTTAGAATTTATTGTTAAGTATTGATGTTTAAACGACAGAAAGATGTAAATCATAATATTAGTTTGAAATTGCTGAAATCGCTAGGTTCAGGTTTGATTTTTGCTCAAAACAAATTTTTGGGTTATTAAATATTAAAAAGAAATTTCTTTTTGGAATTAAAACTAGATTCTAACCTAAAATCCGAATACTATCAGTTGAATTAATTACTATTGATTTTTACTGCCAATAAAATTATTAAATATCAGTTTAAATAATAAATTTCCAATTGGCTTTAACAAGCTGGTAAAAACTTCAGTAATTAACTTAGGAACAATACTTAAATCTTTTAATAAAAACTAGTTGTTAAGATTAAGAATATTTGAAGTTTGGCTGTTGATCTCGCTTTAAGTCTTAAAATCGATCCTAGCGTCTTAATTGCTTTTGATAATAGTTACCAATAATATTAATTCATCCATTTTACTTTTATATTAGTTTCTAATCAAACTTTAGGTATTTGATTCTAAATAGATCAATAAACTTTAAGCATAAATCCACACTTCTATAGTCGATCGTTTAGTCGATTTCTGTACCAAAGCTGTAACTCTTTTTAAGAACAATTTCCCTTAACAAATAAATCATTTTAATGCTCAAACTTCAAACAATATAATGCATTATGGCTTAAATTCAAAAAATATCTTGAACGGTTTAGAAGAAAAAATTCTACATAAGAAGCTCGACAGTATTCTAACTTTTCTTTACCCTCATCAGATTAGAATAGGTATGAATCAAACAGACGGACACACAAAGTGCTTCAATATCTTTGCTTATCCTTGGGAAGCGAAAAAAAAAGTTTGTTTCCATAAAAGTTTTTCTCCGTTAATTTTAATATTTTTGTCATAATAATATGCAAGAGGGAGATTCTGTGAATGAAATTACATGAACTTGTATGCAGCTCACTCGTGTCTAATCCATAATAGTTTTACATATTTTTTTTTTAATTTCACACATCCATGGCATTGATATCAATCACAATATGTCACGGTACCTTTTATTGTTGATTGATGAATCCCTTTTAATTCTGTTATTATTGAAATGTATGTATATGCTGTGATAACGAGGGTTAGATGGCTGATACTTGATGATACTGATTCTATTTTTGAGACACAATAACTTGATGGGTTTCCACTGCATTCGTCTTAAGACAATAATAAGAAAGTTCGTCTTTTGTTTTGTATTTTTCTTTTAAATCTAACAGAACCAACAGCCAACCACTTTGGGAATGGAAGAAATGAGGTCAAATCCTTTTTGTGTGTGTTATTTTTTCTCTCTTCCTTCCTCCTTCCTCCTCCCAAAACTAGTTTATTTAATGTGCAACAGTGACTGTGTACAGATTCAACAAGTGTTTTTGAACTTCCTCATGATAAACACGTTCTTGAAAAGTGCACAAACTTTTTTTTTCTTATATTTAATTTAAACGTTTGAGATTTAATCTGTCCATGGTATTTATATCTTATTTAACCGGCTGATGTTTATAGATTCGTTTCTTTACGTAATTACATACTTATCTATAAACCATAATATTCACTATCAACACAAACGTTTTGTTTTTGGGAACACGGTTAATGAGAATGCGTCATTAATGGAAATTTGTTATCACTTTTAGTTTAATTCTTCATCACACTGCCACCCTTTATTGTATGTGGTAAACATATCAGTCATTAGTTGTGTGACACGTTATCTCTTTTATTGGAAATTTTGTTTTTTAGTTATGCAAATAGAAAGTGTTAAAGCAAAATTTATCATATCCACAAAACACGACGGGTTTATTCACGTTATCGAGACACACACAGAGTGAGGATAAAAAAAAGGAACTTAAAACCAATGTCATTAAAATGCACTTTATGCTGATTTACGTATATTGTTCACACTGTTTAAAAATATATATGCTTGGACTCAATATTTCTTAAAATTATTATTTTTTTTATGCTACACGAGTCAAAATCTATTTTTTATTATATGAGAGTCTAATAGTATTATCTAGAAAAAAAAGTCGTCTTATTCCTGTAGAGCCTCGACTTTGAATGAGAAACCTGTTGTTTTTCTGATAAAAAAAAATATGCTTAGTAATATCATGTGTATCGTGTACTCGAGCTCTGAAACGACCGAACACACATACAATGATAGGCAAGAATCTACGT